GTAAGTTATAACTTTATCAAAATATTAAATCTAATCTAAACATTCGTAATTCGAATCAAACTCTACTTATAAAATAATATCTAAATTACATCTTTATTCTATGTCTATCAACTTAAAATTGATGAGCAAAATTCATTTGGCTTTCGAATTACTTATAAAGTTGGAGAAATGAGGGAAACCATGCTAGTCAAGTTTTGGTCTGAAAATCTGTTGAATAGACAATGCCTGCCACTCTGGTTGTCAAATGCTGAAACTGATAGCCTGTTTGATTCGTTTCGTTAAAACAACTCCAGGAAAGGTTTGGTTGTTGAAAAATTCAATTGTCAGAAAATTGTCACCGGTTTGAGGATTTTATATCATATATCAAAATTTTGTTTATCCTCATACATATATTATTTCATATAATATCTGTACATTACACAATGCACACACGGGAATACTGATTGATCTGTGTAGCCCCTCCCATAATTGATCTCTTTTCCGGTAAATGTGGAAAAGCTTTAATGAAGAGGGTTACTAGCTAGAGATTTAGACTTATGCTGTAGGTTTGCTTAACCGAGATGACATGGAGTTCAAATAAGTTAGAACATTAATAATTGTTGTGTATTTCCTTTGTAACAAGTTTTTAATGGTCAGCCTAAAACTTTTGATGTAATCATTTCATGGTATAATCGAGGTGTTATTCTGGAATTTTCACATACAACTGTGTTAAAAGATGTTGAGATATTTAGATAGTATACATCTTGAGTTGGCTCTTGTTTACTCTTCCTTAGAAAGTTTTACGGTGTTCTTGGGTGGGGGGTCGGGCTGAGATGGCACAACAACTAGTAAAGGTGGATGGATTGATGTTTTCAGCAGTGCTTTAAATCATCTGAAATATCATGAAACAAATGTTTTAACTGCTTGTTGACTTGAGGTTGTTTTGTTGACGACTACCTAGGAAGACAGCTTTATTGCTTGGAGATAAAACTAGAGCAAAATAATTGATATTGGAAATTCATGTGCAGAAGAATTGGAAAAATATCAGTGAAGGCCATGACAGTCTCCGATAAGCGTGTGTGTGTTGCCAAGCTAAGAAGAAGATTCCATGATTTGATTTGGTTTTCCGCTAATAAGTACTGGACATTATTTCTTTTCCATAGTGGGTATCCTCAATTTTTCATTAATATGTAATTTAAACGTTGGAAAAACATGTTTAGTTTGGATACGTCTCACAATATTTAGATTACGAGAATTGATTCAGTAGATGTGGTCTGAGTGATTTGATGTAAGGTGCGATGAAATGCTAAGTGATAAAATGGGAGCAAGATGGCCACCTCCAAGTATCCAAGACAATTTCTTCAAGTTGAACCCAGATTATTTATGAACCTTAACAATCAGAACCCAGCACCTAATTTTTAGAAGGACTTCACAAATCTAAACCTCTGTTTAATTTCTGAAATTATGTCGTCTTTCATGTATGTATGTCTGTGTGCATGTGTTTGTATGCATCTCCTTGCTGTGCAATACTTGACGAGGTTATGATTGTCAAATTTCCATTTTCTCTACTGCAGGAGTAAGTTGCTTGTTACTATTAGAAGAAAGGATGATTAGCAAGAATGTATAGAAGGATGAGATTGAGTGAGTCGTCAAAGGATATCGAGCTTTTCTTTGAAAAGCATGTTGGGCTCATCTTCACTAGTCCATGAGACGATCCAAGATTGCCAGTATTGGCTGATAGATAGAATTTCAGACAGACTCACGACGAGGGTGTAGATTATTATTGTGAGTTATAAATACTCGGGTTAGTAAGATTTATACATCTATTTGTAATGTAACACAAGAAAATAGGTTATTGAAACTTTTTATGAAGGTTTTTGGCAACAAGTCCTTCTGTAAGTGTGACTTTTTTTTTTCTTGGGTATGGTTTTCTTGCAATGGCATGCCAGTTGTGTACGGTTTTATATTGATTTACATTTTGGCACTGGCATGTTCATTAACGAGAAAAAGACGTTAAAATCTTATCTATTATGTATCATGTGTGTACACGTTTGATATAGGTCAGTCGAGATGATACATTTCCGTCTTTGAATTAAATTGAGTTACCTTGAAAGCAGCATGTTTAGCTGTTAATTACTTAACGACTCGGCCTGGCTGTATTTTATGCTAATAATTATGTTTTAACTGAAAATATACGTTGCTGTACTTATTAATTAGTATCATTATTGCTTGTTAATTAGGATAACCTTTCTTGAATAAGTGTAGATTACTTGTAGTGAACGAATCAGATTGACCGACACCCATTCTATTAAATCTAAGCCGTAAAATACGAGTGCTTGAGCAGTAGAACATGCATATAGTATGTATGTATGTATATGTGTGTGTATGTGAAGCGATGCCCCCACATGATGGTAGGACTTATTGTTCATTAATTCTTTATTTAATCCCACCCACCAACTTAGCTTAAGGTCAAAGAAAAGAGTGTATTATGATTGATACATGCAACTCAAAACAATTTGGAACTCAGAAACCATTAAGTTATCAGCGAACATGTTGAAATTTTTTATTTTAGTTTTTAACCCTTATTTGGTTTAAATAAAAATAAGATTTTTAGGAGATTTTGATTTAAAAAAATTGAAATGTGTGGTTGAAAAGTTGCGGTCCCATAAAATACGTGGTTAAAATTAATTGTTGATTTTGACTTAGATTTTATTTAGATTTTTTAACTGAACCAAATAGGGACTTAGATTTTATTTTATTCTTGATGGAATTTTTGATTCGTATTTAAAAATATATGTTGATAAGATATATTAAATTTGTTAAAATATTTATGTTGTTAATATAAATAACTAAAAAAATCATACGCAATCTTTATTTTTTAAAATGTTAATAATTACTGACTATTTTTTTAAGAAGAAAGGACAAAAATATGTAGATTTTAAAATTTGAGGGACTTCGATATGTCGAGGGGCTTAGTTGACAGCCTAACTCCCCGAATACCTGAATTGATTTTGATGAATGATTACTAGATTTTTTCTTAATTATCTGCCAAGTCAACTAATCATATTGCCGCTCTACATATAGCTTTATTCTTTGAATTAATCCGCGCGTATAGGGCTCACTAGAGTACTCTAGAGGTGTCAGACGAATGGGCCGGCCGACCCATGAAAATCGGCCCGGATCGACTTGGAACCGCGGGCCAACCCGTGACTCGAGCAGGCGGTTCACGGGTCAAGGAGGTGTGACCCACGGGCTTCGCGAATTGCACCTATACGGGTCGCGGTTAACCAGTTAGCCCGTGAAAAAAAAATTTAATTTTTTTAAAAAAAGTATGTGCCAACCTGATTGGGATGTACTTATATTATAAATAGGGAAAATTTAACTAGACCAGGAATTCCCAAACCTAATCTCTCTCCTCCCTTCCCGTCTCCCCTGCCTCTTCCCTCCTCCCGTCTCCCCTCTCTCCTCCTCCCGTCTCCGAACATTTATCTATCCCCTCACATAGTAAGCGACGCTGCTGTGAGCAGCGTCGCACAGCAGCGTCGACGCTGCTGTGTCGCACAGCAACATCGTGCTGCTGTGCGACGCTGCTCACAACAGCGACAGCAGCGCTCGCTGCTGTGTCGCACAGCAGCGATAGCAGCGCGACGCTACTGCCAGCCTTTTGGGTGGGTGGACAAGGAAATTGGTGGTGGATATGTGGGTGTGGGGCAGCAGCATGGATGAATAAGAGAGATGTATCTATGGGCGTGGGGGCAGATCTGTGTAATGAAATTGGGCGGTGGATCTGTTGCAGGTGGGTGTG